AAGGCCTAGGGGCTGGAAGTCTGAGAGCTGATAGGAAGGGTAAAGTGGATGGCTGAGGGCTTAGGACTATCAGTATTAGAGCTCTGAGGATCCCATGGGGTTGAAGGACATAGCTTCTTAAGGTTCCATATTGCTATTGGGTTTATTGTAGCCCATATAAGATTGAGACTAAAAGGCTCCAAGAGGGAACTTTATACATGTATAGGGAGCTTGGAAGATGTTTGAGACTGGCAGGGCTTCCATGTAGGATGAGGCTGTAATGTAAAATCTAAAGATGGAAACAGATGTACCTTAAACTCTGGTCCAGATTAGGAAAAGGGTTAAGTGGCAAAGTACTACAGTTTTACAAATCGATATACATGTATATGTACCAACAAGTTGTTCTGCTATTTTAAATAAATGAGCATTTATTTCACTTGCAAATAGAAATTAACTGGTTATAGCAATATACGGTGATTGTTTTACATACACACAAAGCATTCTTGCAAGGTGATATTTTCAAATGAAACAAGTTTCATGTCAGTGCTAAAAGGTCCTTAGAATGCACTTAAAGGTGTAAAGTAAAAAAAATTGTTCTAGACATTGGTTTTGGAAACAGAATTGGTTAAAATTTAAACATGATGGCCGCAAAAAAACTAGTTTTATGACTAAAAAAAATGTTCAAATCAAATATTTCTTTTGTGCACAGAGTAAAGCCCTTAGAGTGTTTTCAAAAATTACATTTTTTTGCAGTAATGACCTTTCAGCACTGAGCCAACAATTTGCAACTTGAAGATTTGTGATAATTTTAAGTGAAAGACTTTTTCTAATGCTTTGGCAATATGGATGTGCAACTTGGAAAATACAAAATACACATAGAATTTTGTCCAAGGAAAAGCTTATAAAGATGAACAAAGAAATTAACTGGAGCAGGATTTGAACCTGCAACCTCTGAAATACCGTACCGGTGCTCTGCCAAATGAGCTATTCAGCCCTATGTCAGTGGTTCTTCCCATTTGTCAAATCTCTGTTTGGGGGCGAACTTGTTAAATTCAGAGAAGCCACTGGGTTGACTAACCAGTGCTGGTATTTTGGCTGCCTAAATGGAAACACCATTCAATTTTTAAAAGCATGCAACAGTTACAAGCTTTTAGTCCTCAAAAGAAGTAGTATCAAAGTGTCTACTTTCCAAATGGTAATTATTTGCAAATTTTGAAGTACATTTCTAGCATCTTGATAACTGAACTGTAAACATAAATGTTTTTAAATACGAGTTAATGTGTTACATTGAAAAGAAACAAATTAAAAGTGAACAATAGTCCTTCAAAAGCAAACTGACTAATTGTGTATTCAATTTACAGAGTACCCTCTTAAGTCATGAATAATTTGGATATAAGTACAGTACAACGTTACTATACTGAACAATTCAGTTTACGAGACATGCCTCTTGGCTCCCAAATTTTCTGTGCACTTTTACTGAACATCACAAATTTGCTTTAAATTAATGAAAACAATTATTTTAGGACTGATGACAGTGACACAAAAGTTAAGATGTCAATAAACTCCGAAATTGGAACGGCCATGTTATGAGCCAATAACAAGCAGCCGCACAAGAGAATCTGTTTTACACAAACAAGAACACACATGTATGTATGTGTAACAACTGACATTTCAACATAGGAAATAGCACCCTCTTTTTTCTGCAAATGGCAACCTCTCTGTTTAGCAAATAGCGCCCTCTTTTGCCAGGACTTTTCCCCATTTTTTAATGGAAATCGGAACAATTTGATTTTTAAGCCTACATGTATGAAAATGCGACTGGGACAGTACCAATGAAATCGCAATAGTTGGGGAGGCATGCTACATCAAGCATTGCGTATGGACCCGGCCCTGTTCACTATAGCAGCATTGTACTGTATACAAATATACACTACTCAATAAAATTTAAGGATCAGACATTTGACAACCACGAATTCGAATTTTTTTTATCAATCATCATTTTACAGATATATTATAATAATATGTGATTTGGGGGAAGATTTGCAAACAGATACATGTTAGACATTGCATTATTTTACTGAATAAAAGGGTTAACAGAGTAATTTTTTGATGCTGAGAAACATCTTCAAAGTGCTTCATTTCTGTGATTCAGAATCACAAATAGTGCCCTCACATTAAAGCAATATCATTCTAACTCATAAACAGCGCCCTCACATTACCGCGATATCATTCTAACTCATAAACAGCGCCCTCACATTACCGCGATATCATTCTAACTCATAAACAGCGCCCTCACATTACCGCAATATCATTCTTACTCATAAACAGCGCCCTCACATTACCACAATATCATTCTAATACATAAACAGCGCCCTCACTTTACCGCGACATCATTCTAACTTGTAAACAGCGCCCTCACATTACTTGGTTGAATCTCAATATTTTATAAATCATTTTCAGGGCCCTAAAGGACCTAGACAAGGTGCTGACCAAAGTTTTTTTCAGTGTCACGAGACTTCAGTACTCTGTAGCGGAAGTTTCTTGTTTTGATGCTAGGAAATAGCCAAATTAAATGATGCTCATTTTGTATGATGAGAATACCATTTGTATAAATAATTAATCACTATGTATGATCCTTTGATCCTTTGAGTAGTGTACAAATGCAGATAGACTTGCTCCATCACTAAGGTAGAAGCAAGGAACTGCATCTCTGAGAAGATTGAGTCCTTTCCTTGCCTTTTTGTGAATCAGTGCCTAACGGATTCTGATGAGGTTCCCTCATGCAATCTTGGAAACTGTTCCTCCTCAGTGATGGAGGCGAGGACTGGCATCTATCTGAGTTACTGCCTCTCCTTGACATTCTCATGAATCATCTCTGTGAAGTCCCATAGGATCTTGGCCTCCACCTTCCTTCTCTCCAGGTTGAAGGAGGTGAGGGCGCTTTTCTCATCAGCATCGTGGTTTGCTTCTCCTGGGGCATACCCACAGCTTTCATATGAGGAGGCCTGGAGAAGAAATTAATCACAAAAGGAAATAAGTTGATGCAGAAATTGAAACATTTCTTCAAAAATTATAGGATCCTTGTATGCTCCTTATTTTACACATTTTATCTCATAAAAAACTGTTAGTGTCTATTGCTTTTAATCCATTTTCATGTCAGAAAATGAACTATGACAAGAGAATTCCTTTGACACTGCTGACCTATTACTTCTGAAAGCATTTGTGACTTGTACTCTTTGTTAAAAATATTTTTCTAGACACCCCTTTTGGGTTTAGTGAGTCAAAAGTGATGTTTTTAATTAAACACTTAAAATTGTCTTTCCCTTTTCCTAACAAGTGAGGGTGCTGTTTTACATTAATACTGTAACATCAATCAGGGAATACCACTAAACCCAAAAATCTCTGGACCAATGATTGAGCCTGAAAGTGTGGGCAGAAATATTTCAACAGTGTGCACAATATTGATGAGTTGGATACAAATGGGAAATTCTGGATGGTGACTGAAAATACTGTTAAGTGTTTACAACGTGGTCCCTCTTTGTGCTTTGGTTCAATATTTGTCAACATTAATGCAGATCCTCCTTTAAATAAGAGCTCTGAACACTTAAATTTTTGTCCATATTCACTGCTCACCTTCAAAACTCCCGAACAAACCCCAATAATGTATGTGATTTTAATTTTTCGACTTTATTTTTGAAATGTTTTGACACAGTTCTCAGTGCTCTATCAGATAAAACTTATGTTAAATTTGCTTTTCAAAATATTCACTAAACAACAGGGATGTCAGGAATTTATCTGAATTTCACATAATGTGCACCTTGGCTTCTACAACTGGGCAATATTATGAGGAAGAAAAATTTAACCGTGCCGGGGTGGAACTTTAATAAAAAGACCAACGGGCCAAATAATGTTTGATCGACAATTGCCAGTTGTCCCCAATCCATCTTCTTTGATGTAGAGCAGTGCTGCACAGCTAATCATGAAACCCCAGGGGACAAGGCAGCCATTTGTTCATGGTTATTAAAAATGGAGACTCTCCTTAAATTATGCCCCTGCTGTTGTTGGTCTAAAGGTATCTTTATGTCTATGATTACACGCTTCATTTCATGAGTTTTACTAAAACTATGAAACCAAATTGCTCCTTGAACATGTTGAACATGTCTCAGGAAATGCGGACCAGTGATCAATGGTAATTTGTCATGAAACAGCAACAAACAATGAAGGAAAAGGAACTTTAGGCCAGGAAAATGTGAGCAATTCCAGTACAGTGGGTGCACTCAATTAGCTTGCCCTGGTTACAAGGGTTTAACCTCATCCCTATCGTCTTGCTTGGTTGACACAATGCACACAACCAACACTAGGTCAGGGTTGCCCTAAAAGCTAGCCACAAGAACCCAAGGCCTTAAGGGTGGATCCAGGACCCAATGTTTTTTCAGGGGGGCGGGGACAAACTTGATTCTGGGGGCAATTTTTTTTTTTATTTTTAAAGTTGTTTGAGGGGTTGGGCTACATTTCCATTTTTCAAAAGATGGAAAATGAAAAAGACGAAAACATCCTTTCATTTTTTCAAATAAAAACAATTTTTGCTCCTTTTTTGGTCACGACCCCAATTGGTCCCGCCATCCTTTCCCGGATTCGTCTTAGCAGAAACCACCAATGATATGAAACACAGGACTCTTACCTGTGCTACTTACATGTATAATGTAACCTGCCTCTTCACTTTGGAGATTTCATCGGTCAGTCCACTCGCACCATGATGCTAGCCAGCCTCAACGTTCATGTAGGCAGCCATGGCATTACATTCACCAGGCAATGAGGCCTTCCCATATCAAAACACAGGCAAAAATGACAAAAAAAGAGAAAATGTCACCTAAGGTTTTTCAGTCACACTGTAATAATGATTTTTTCTCCAAATGAGCAAAACAGCCATGTTTCAACCCATCACCATCTACAGTCTTTTTTTGGGTTGCTGTTAAATCCATAAGACCATACAGTGCTGGGGAGTGCAGGGTGTAACAGGCTGGGTGGGGTCAGGGCCCAATTTCATGGGGCTTCTTAACACAGAAGAAAAAAACATACTAGCCTTAGCAGAAAAGTCTGCTAACCTTGAGCACTATTTCATGGTGTTGCTGGGGGGGGATGTGCTAACAGTTGTGTGTGGATAGAGATTTCTGTTGTTACATCACTAAGTTGAAGCAAATCTTTCCTCCAAGGTTAAGATGCACTTGGCTGTACTTACTGTTTACAGTGTGCATGAAATACTCAGAGCCTCTGTAAGCGTGAAATCGTGTGCTAAGCAGCGCCAAGAAATTGGGCCCTGATTGTTACCAGCAAGGTTCCCACAAACTCTGAAAATCAAATTCAGTGACCCTTCCTGCACTTTCCAGAACTAAAATACATGCATGACAATTTCCATGGCATTTGATGCCACTCCGCACAGAAAATGTGTTTGGTATAATAAACAGGAAGACTGCCATAGCCACTATCCATAACCACCATCAAAATCACCCTTGTGTGATCTTGATTTCCATAACTTTTCCTCAGACCAATTTTCTGTGAGTTTTCCATGACTTTCCGGGACAACTTTTCCCCAGGATTTTCAATGACTGTGGGAACCCTGTACAAGGACAAATGGGTTCAAAGTACTGTACAGTCTATCATTTGCAGTTATCCAAAAGGTATCCAAATTGTTGTTGGAAAGCATACTTGGTTTAGATTGAGGACTAAATTCTGTGAGAAACTGTTCTTTCTGGCAAACAATCATCAGAAGCAATGATTTCAAGCAGGCACCTTTTCAAATTTCAAGTTTCTATAATTCATCAGTTCAGGGGATGACAAGGTGTAGCTGCATTCAACTGAATATGAGAATCTTTCTCAGATGCTGAATTCAGGCACAATTTAAAACAGGACTCGGCAACTTTTGATCTGAAATCTTAAGTCCCAGAATAGTTTTCTCAGAATATGGAGCATCATTATTAAGCTGAAACTTCATCTTCAGCAGGTTCGTTCTTGCCTTCCCCCCTTAACATTTTGAGTAATTTTGTTGCATCAAGGGAAAATAATCCACAAAAGGCAAATGGTGGACTGTACCTTTAAACAAATTGTTGCGACAACCAAAATACTGACTACTTGTCGTAAAATAAGAGATGGCTTACTCTACTGGGGCAGTGATGCTAGATGAGCCCACAGGCAGGGGACCAACCACGCTGCTATCACCTTACTCTATCAGGGCAGTGATGCCAGAAGATTAGCCCACAGGCAGGGGACCAACCACGCTGCTATTATCTTTAACACCTGGTAAAAATACAGTAACAAAAATGGGGGGAAGTTACATGTAAGCACTGTAACAAATGTACTTTTGTTTGAGCATGTCCCCAGCAGAGTTGTTTAAAAGGTGTGGCTGAGGCTAGAGCTAAAGCCACAAGTGAGTGGCTTCAGTCATTTGCCATAGACTTATGTAATGCTGTCAGCCTAAGCCGGCTGATTTGGAAAAGGTCCATCTTCAGCCAGTTGACACCTGTACAAACAACAGGCTTTCTCAACTTGACAAATAGTGAAAATTCTGGCTGTGTGAGTGGAAATTTCTTGATGAACCTCTGAATTTCACCCTAAAGAGCTGGGAGAGGGGAGAGGGAATCTACCCCCTTTTCTGACACTACTTTTGTGAAAATCCAACATACTGTTCTATCTCGCACAGTACGTTTTTTTCTGAGAGAGGTCAACCAAAAATGTATACTTTTCTGCTGCCATCCCCAACTTCCGAGTGACTGTCAAACCATATGACAGATTGAGATAAAAATTAGTCATGCATATGAAGTTTGTAAAAAAATCCAGCATTGGACAGTCCAATTCTTGGGGGATTACCGCAGGCTGTGAGGTGGTCCAATGTAACCGAGCTCTTTGGAGGGTTAAGATGTTAGGAAGTACTAGGGTCAAATCTACCTGCAAAAATTGATTTCTTCAGAGATGGCAAATATGACTGACAAGTGACAGCTTTTCTACCTGCTGTTTTCTCCATCCACTCTTCTTGCTCNCTCATCACTGTCAGAGTGGCTGTCACTTGGGTCCTCACTGGAACTTGAGTCTCTCTTAAACCCACTTCTTGTTTCTGATATCTAGGGCCTTTTTACACACTGTCTTTGGACAAAGTACATGTAAATGTACTTACCTTCATTGTCTATGTTACAGCTAACATCAGAGTCATCTTCATCATTTTCTGTGAGGCCAAACTCGTCAGAGCTGAAAAAGTGTAGACAAAGTAATGATTATTCAAGCAGCAAGACGTAAGGACAGCATAGAAAGACTGTGGTTCCTGGAAACCTTTCCGAATCCTAAAAAATCCTCAACAGAATGATACATTCTCCAAAATTCTACGGACACATCAAGTCCCATTAGAATTCAAAGAGGCTGGGCTGGGCTCTGGTCAATTTTGAAGGATCTGGGTAGGTTGGCATTAAGACACATGTAAGAGTTACGAGTAAACTTGCGGGAATAAAGTTCACTTTCTCAATCCAACTTGTCATTGAACAACGTGGTGCTGGGAAGGAACTTACATGTACTCAGGTTCTTCGCTCTCCACTGATGCTGCCGTCTCATTAGCCACTCCTTGCTCCATCATCTTCTCTCAATGACTTCCTCCTACAATAAAAACAGAAAACAAAAAATACATCCCTTCGGCTTTTACTGTTGTAACAGCAACTTCCATCATTTATTGTTGAAACCTTTGCACAACCCCTAACTTTGGTGCAGTTTGATTTTTTGCCTCCAGTGCCTTGCTGGAGCAACATTTTTACCTCAAATTTCAAAGTAAGTGAAATTTCATCAAACTCCCTCTAATCTAATTCAAAACTCCTGATTTTACTCACCCACTACAACTTCCCAAGACAATTTTTATTTTGGCTCAATTTTCCATTTTTTTTTCTTCAGTGCAAAGTGGACACTTCTAAACCTGCTCCAAAATTCAAAAATACTTTTCTAATAAACCTTTGTTTAAGTGTATGTAAATTGAGGGCACAATAGAAATGATTAAGTTTACAGAACTTCTCAAATGTTTACTTGGGGTTTTGGGCAATTTTTTCAAGTGTGCCACGAGAAGGAACACGAACAGTCAAGATGCAATGGCACAATTACTTGATATCCTGGATGTTAGTCGAGATGTACCCGGTAGGCCTACATGTATGGAAAGAAATCTATTACCGATGCCATTAATATTTCCCCACAGTGACCTAACATTATTAGTATAGGTACCACCAGCCATCTCAAAGCAATAAAACTGTGTCCTAAAAGGTCAAAATTTAGCAGTGAAAATGTTGCTGGTATTCACTTAGAAAACACTTGAGAATTCCAGACCAGTGTCATAAGGTTTCTTCCTCCATGGTCCATTTGTGAAAAGGGTGTCAAGCCACATCCATATTACATCTACATTTATTTATCTGATCATCCAACAGCGCATTTAGCACCAATTACAGGATGA